TCAAGGATCCCCAGGGGTCTTCAAGGGTCTCTGGGGGGGGTGCAGGGGGGTTCAGGGATCCCTAGGGGTGCCCAAGGGTCTGTGGGGGTCCCCAGAGATCTTCAGGGGCCATCAGGGCTGTTCAGGGGTCTTGAAGGGTCACTAGGGGTCTCTGGGGGTGTTCAGGGGTGTCTAGGGGTGTTCAAGAGTGCTTAGGGGTGCCCAGGGTTCTTGAGAGGTGTCTGGGGGTCTCTGGAGGTCCCTGAAGGTGCCCAGAGGTCCCCAGGAGTGGGAAGACCACAGCCACAGTATGAAGCACCAGAGTTCAGAGGGGTTTGATGACCACAGAGGTTTATTCACCAAGGGGAAGAGGTTTCATCTAATTTTGGGATATCCTCTGTGTCTTCCTGTTGGTGAACCCTAGCTGAGGGACCTTTAGGGGTCCATGGGGATTTGGAGAGTCACAGTAGGGATTTGTGGGGGGTTCACAGGGCTATGCCCTTCTCCTGGTCAACCCACCAGAGGCACATTTGGAGGTCCACAGGGATTTGGGGGGTTCCAGTAGAGATTTTGGGGGATCACAGTAGAGATTTGGGGGGTTCCAGTAGGGATTTGGGAGGGTTACTGGGCTGTGTCCTCCGTTTGGACCCAACCCCACCAGTGGCACTTTTGTGTGTCTGTAGGGAGTTGGAGGGTCACAGTAGGGATTTAAGGGGTCTGTAGGAATTTGGAGGGTTACAGGGCTGTGTCCTCCTGTTGGCCAACCCCACCAGAGGCAATTTTTGGAATCCATAGGGATTTGGGGGTGGTGGTGCCACAGGTCTATGCCCTCCTGGTGGCCAACCCCACCAGAGGGACCTTTGGAGTCTGTAGTGATTTGGGGGGTCACAGGGCAGTGCCCATTGGCCCCTGGTCCTGTGCCTTGGCCTCTCTTGGGTAGAACTCAGCCAAGATGCTCTCAGGGATCCTCTTGAGCTGCTGCTTTGGGAAGATGCGCAGGAGCTGCCACCCAATGTCCAGGGACTCGAAGATGCTCCTGTTCTCATAGGGACCTGAGGAGAGGAGTCACTGCAGGAGCTAGAGAGGTCTGGGGGAGCTCTCCTGGCCCTCAATCCCCCCACCCAGGGCAGTCAGCTCACCTTGAGTGATGAACTGCTTCTCGAACTTGTGGAGGAACTCCAGGTAGAGCAGGTCATCAGGGGACAGAGCTTCTTCCCCCACCACAGCCTTCATGGCCTGCACGTCCTTCCCAATGGCATAGCAGGCGTACTGGGGAGAGCACGGGGTGGGGTGGCTGGGAAGTGACCTTAAAGCCCACCCAATCCCACCCAGTGACACCTCCCACCAGCCCAGGTGACTCCAAGCCCCATCCAACCTGGCCTGGAACATTTCCAGGGATGGAGCAGACACAGCTGCATTGGGCAACTTGTGCCAGTTCCTCACACCCAGGAATTCCTTCCCAATATCCCACTCAAATCTCCCCTTTTCCAGGGTAAAGCCATTCTCTGTGTCTTGTCACTCCATGCCTTGTCCCAAGTCTCTCTGCAATTCTCTTGGAGCCCCTTTAGGCACTGGAAGGGGCTCTGAGCTCTCGCTGGAGCTTCTCCAGGCTGGACATTCCCAGCTCTTCCAGACTGACTCCATGGCAGGGGGGCTCCAGAACCATGGAATGGTTTGGGTTGGAGGGACTTTAAATCCCACCAGAAGAGCTCCAACCCTGGAGCATTTCCATGGCCTGTTCTGGACCTGCTCCAGCACCTCCACATCCTTCTGCTGTTGGTGCCCAGAGCACCAAGGCAGCACTGCAGATCTGAATCTCCCCAAGCAGGAGCAGGAGGACTCTGAAGGTACAATCAATCCCCCCTCAGTGCCCCCCAGCCCTCACCAGCTGGTTGGAGACATCCCCATGGTCCTTCCTGGTCATTCCCTCTCCGATGGCTGATTTCATCAGTCGGGACAAGGACGGCAGCACGTTGATGGGAGGATAGATCTGCAGGGGTAGAAGGACCCCCCATGTCCTCCAGCCCTGTCTCACACCCATGCCCTGCCCTCAGCAGCTCCATCCTGGGGGTTTCCAGCCCTATTGCAGTGCTGAATCCACCCCTAGAGCCAGGAATGGGGTCAGGAACCAACCTGGCGGTTGTGGAGCTGTCGGTCCACGTAGATCTGTCCCTCAGTGATGAACCCGGTCAGGTCAGGGATGGGGTGGGTGATGTCTGGGGGAACGAGGTGCTGTGAGCCCCCACAGAGGGTCTGGGTGTTTGGGTGGGCATGGGACATGGATATGATCCATGCTGGGGGGCACTGGAGCAGCACAGCCCCCACCAGGGATGGTTTGGGGGGGTCTTGGTGTCACCTTATCTATGCAGCAGACCCCAAGAGGAGATGATGGGGATGGCCAGGATGGCACTGGGGGAGAGTCTTGGTGTCACCCCACATGCCTAGGAGTCAAGGGCCCCAAGGTGGAGGTGATGGGGGTGGGCTGGATGGCTTTGAGGTGCCTTAGTGTCACCTCACCTGCCCAGAAATTGGGGAGCCCCAGGGTGAGGTGGTGAATGTGTCTGGGGACATGGAGGGGTCCCAGGGGTCCTGTCCCCACCTGCTCCACCTTCCTGCCCCCGGAGCTGTGGTGTTACTCTGCCCTCAGATGACACTGCCCACCCCATGTAATGGCATGGGCACACCTTGTCCCCAGCACTGGAGGGCTGAGCTTCTATTATGGGGGAGCCCTCAGCCACCCCAGCACTGGTCCCTGTGTCCCCTATGGAGCACCCCAGGCAGCTCAGGTGTCCCGTGGCACCCATGGGTGCTCTCCATGTCCCCCCAGCCCCATTCTTTGACACCCCTCCAGATGGGGGAGGTGGACACAACCTTAGAGCCCCCCAAAAAGTTTCACGGCCCCACAGCACCCCAAAAACTCATTGAACCAGGGCAAATTGGCACTTCCAACCCACTGCATGGGCATAGTTTGTCCCTGGGCATAGGGGGCTGCAGCCCCTATTCTAGGGGTGTATCTCTAGCTTGGGGGGGGGGAAGAGGGATGGTTTGGGGGGGATGTAACCCTAGAGTACCCCAAAAAGCTTCATTACCCCACAGCACCTCAAAAACATGTTAAACCAGGGCAATTTGGCACTTCCAACCCACTGCATGGGCACAGCTTGTCCTGTCCCCCCAGTCCCATCCTTTGCCCCCCTCCCGTCATCTAGGGGGTCCCAGAGGGATGATTTGAGTGGGATATAACCCTGGAGGACCCCCAGAAGCTTCACTACCCCACCTCACCCCAAAGACGTGTTAAACCAGAGCAACTTGGCACTTCCCAGCCCTCCCAGCCCTGAGGATTCCTGGGGCAAGGCAGCCTCAG